AATATAGTTTAATAAGTTGCCACCTGAGACAAACAAACCCTGATGACTGCCTCTACTAAGTGTCTTGGTCATGCAGGAGTTAAATATACAGAAAGCTGCAGAATGCTATTATTTTAGAGGCCTGTGAAAATGCAATTTGATTAGTCTATTGGACGATATTCCAAAGAACCAAATGTCTTCCATGAATCAGTCAGAAATGCTTAGGAAAACCAAAATAAAAAATGCTTTCCAAGCCAATAAAGGTGCTAATTAGTGCCTTCTGCATATCTCACTACATCTTCTCCAGTAATACATTTTGCAGGGTTAAGTGCAGTGTCTGCTGCTTCAGATGGCAGAAGTCCACCTAACAGTAGGGAGGGTGGCTGGAGACTCAAGTATCTAAAAGGGAATCAGAGCTGGCGTTTTAACCCATGCAATGGGATGTATTGAGTAGAGTAGGGAATTTTTTTTTTCTCACTTTAATTTTCCTTCAGACCAACCCTTAGGAATCTTGAGGATAGGAGAACTTGAATTTTTTCTTTCTTTCTTTGTTCCCTCAATGCTTTTAGAGAGTAAAATCTGGCTCTAAAAACCTAATAAGAGTGCTATCTTGGGAGGACAAAGAAATGGAGAAAATATCAGAGTCAAGCACCCAGAGAAGCCAGTGTGGATTTGAGCAGGCTTAGCAGGCAGGCTTATGTGGTGAACACAGGTGCGTCTGTAAGGGTCCCACCTTCTACCTGAAGAAGCTTGGGGAAGTCTGGGGTAACAGGAGCAGCTTGTTTGTCCCATGATGGCATTCCCTAGGTGTCAAATTTGTGCTCTGATCAGAGGTCACAGACTTAAATGCTTCTGTGAGCCAGGCAGGTGAGTGCTAATGAACCAGGCAGGCGGGGAGACTGCAGAGAATTGCAGGGCGCATCACCTCCAGCAGATGTTGCCCTGAAGAGACCTGAGCCAGGGCTGCTGGATCTTCTGGGTTTTAACAAAAGCCTGGGAATACCAATGCTGCTGAGAACTGGGCTACCAGCTTCAGGTTCATTATTGAAAACAGGCAAAGAAGCAAGGACCTGACCCTGACCAGGTTGTCCTCAGGTTCCAGGAAGTTTACCTTACAAATTAACAAAGTGGAAAAAAAAAAAAAAAAGCTGAAGTAAAACCAAAGAAAACTCAAACAGGCAAGGAATAATAGTTTCACACTGTCCTGCGCAAGACTCAACTGTCAGCGTCCAACACTGGGAAGGCCAGTTCCTGTTTCCACAGTCATCAGGAAGTAAACACATAGTAATGCTAAAAACGCCCCTTGGTCTCCCAGGACTCAGGGTGTCCAGGGAGTGAAAAATGGAAATGAAGCAGTGAAGCTAATTGATTTTTGATAATTATATTACAATTTTAAAAATCAGGCTTGTCTTGTGAGTTTCAAAAATTATATCGATTTTCCCTGGCTTCATTTTCTCCAGAATCTAAGCTTGGCAGCAGAGAAGGCTATGTGTCTGAATATATTGGATAGAGATAGACATTTGTGTCATTTTAAACAAGATCAAAAAGAAAGAGTATAGAGTCTAACAAAAGATGTAAAAGCTATATCTGTATATCAGTAAGTGCGAGATTCAGGTGAGGGGGGTCAAACATCCTGCCCAGCCCCTAGCTGTCAGCGACGGCTGGGCCTTACAGGGCCCGCTGATGCTAAAACTGTGTAAGGCTTTCATGTGTGTCATCAGACCAGAAAACAACACTTCGGTGAACTAGCCAGGTCCACTTTGCACGTTCCTTAGAAAATATGTTTCTTTCAGGGGCTTCCTTCCCCTTTGGGGCTGCCCTTGGTTTCTTGGCGACCAGATTGCTCCTGAACCTGGACTGCAGAGCTGCAGTGTGTGTGATCCGTGGAATATGGCTCCTAGATCTGTGTGGGCACTAGAATCTCATGAAGAAGCCCTGAGTGAAGGGATGTGGAATTTTATGGATGACTTGGATGTTCTGTGGGGCTAGGGTTTTTGAAAACTCAACAAGGCTGAGCTAACTCTTTTCATCAGTATCTGAAAATGGTTCATTTCCTGTCTGACAGTTTGAGCAATTCACTGTGGCCACAATGCCAGACCCCTGGCCTGGACATACACATCCGTTCACATGTTCTAGGAAATCCAGAGCAATAGCAGACAACCAGAAAAGACTGAGGCAGTGGCAAGAGTGGCGGTACTGGCAGAATATGAAGCCAAATGTCCTAAAACCCCAGAGTATTTTATGCAAGAGCTGCTCAGAAATTCCAGAATTCTCTGGATGAGCTAACTAGGCACAAATGGAGCCTGCCTTTGTGAGATACATGCAGAGCAATAGATGGAGATGGTGGGGGCAGGGAGAAATAGACAAAAGATTGCTGAAAAAGATAAATATTTATTTTAACCTTCCATTTTGGGCAACCTATTATTTAATTCATTAAGTCATTACAACATGACTGCCAAAATATTATACTGTGCTGGCATCTATAACATGATTAATAAAGTGGCAAATAGGCTTTCTCCCATGTGACAACTTTAATCAATTGGCATTGGCTTTATGATTTGAGAAGGTTTGAGACTGAGTTCAGTGAGCAAGAGTGCTGCAGTGGATTAGCAATGCCTGCCTAGGTGAGCGATTTGGTGTTGAATAGATGAGTTTTTCAAACTCTGGATTGTGGAGGTGACTGACAGAGCGAAGGAAGAGCTAAATGGGAGACCACTCTGCCCAGAACAGCACTCCTTTTATCTATTTAAATTACTAGAAATTTGCAAAAGAATTCCTCACTAAAACCCATAGTTTTAAAACTACTGAGGTAATGGGCAAAAGACTGGAGTTTGGATTCTAAGCTAATTTCTAAATTGGTGCATAAGTTTGAGTCAGATATTTTAACTTACATGAATAACTGTCACCAGATATCACATAGCACATTTAATAAATGTCACGTTTGTATCATAATAATGACCATTCACCTTGATATTCCATCCTTGGTAGTGGCTCCCTATAATGTTCTATGAAGCAGTTTATTCTAAACTCATAGTTTATTCTAAACAAAGGGTGAAGTTTGTTTATTCAAAAAAAAAAAAAACCACTCATGAAGTTTACTCTACACAAAGAATGGCATAAAAGCTTCAACTCATTCAATTCCTGACAATTTTGAGAGCCTATCTAGGCTCTATGAGAAAGTGGTGTCATTGATTAATGATGTCTGCTATGAGAGTGAGATTGAGAGTGGTAGCATGGAGATATATATACTTTGTTTTTAAACCTTTATCATAGATTAATATTTTTCACCCTATATAGCTCTTGTGGTGACAGAATTCCATTTGTTTTGTAGGGCAGAACTTACTGTATCTGTTTTCTCATTACCTTTTAAAATTGTAGTTATGTATTTCGGACTTAATTAAGAATCCACTATTTGCTCACACCTCAGTAATATACCTCTAGTCTTTATCTTTCTAGACCAGTTGCCCTTTTCCATTCGGCAGGGTCACTGAACCTTAAAAAAAAAACAGCTGAAAACTATGAGTATTCTTATCTTCACCCTCAAAATTTGGTATTCAGAGACAAGTTCCCAGATACCTTGAGATCTATTCAGAGACCCCCTACCCAGAGAGGAGCTCTGGCTCCAGACTGAAGAGCCCTTTATTATTTTCCTTTTTTATGTATGTTTCAATCATTTAAGCTTGTTTTTCCAAAATCTCTCCCAACCTGTGTTATATTTCTTATGGTGAAGAACTTTACATTCTCATAGAAGTGCTGGGTGGTAATACTTCCAGTTTGATACATGTCACACATTTGCGCCCAGGAGAGCCACAGTGAGAGGAAATTGGAAGCCCTGGGGATGGAGTGGGGGACTTCTGAGGAACTGCCTGTCTTCTGAACACTTCCTTCTGCAGATGTCTACCGCAGCGTTACCTCACAACACAGGTTCTGAGTACCGCTTCGGCCCCTGAATAGGCCTCTCTGACATCCAATATGTAGCTCTTCTATTCTGTCCTCAGCACCACTAACCAGGCAAATGGACTTTCAGCATCGTCCTTCTCACATTTACTTGTTTGCTCAAAAACTTTTTATTGTTTTCCATGTCCTAACACGTACATAATAAACTCTCCTTTCCAGCTTTCGAGTAAGCAACAAGACAATCTGTTGACAGCGTAGTGTCTTGAAAAGAAACAACAGGAACAAATAAAAATAAGCTGTGGCACCCTACTGGCCATGGGAAATTTATTTACTCTGAGCCTCAATTTATTTCTCTTAAGTGGGCATGAATGATACCTATTTCACGGATAAACAGATTGTGCATGTAACATCCTTAGCACATTGCCTCACACAAACTTAATGTTAAATAAATAGTAACTATTATTGCTATAATCAATAATAAATGTAATGATAAATTCCTGGATCTGCTACTTCTGACTGTGTGGTCATGGGCTCATTACTCAACTTCTGTGAGTCTCAGGTTCCTTATCTGAAAAATAAGAATAGGTCCTAAATTATAAGACTGTTGTAAGGATTAGGTGATACAAATTAATGGAAACTGCTCCGTGAATGCTGGGTTCTTCATGTATTCTTTTGCCTGTCCCCATCCTTGCTCCTCAACCTTTTGTACCAGGAGAGAGTATTCCAAAATGCCTTGTGATCTAATCAGCCTATAGCCCTATCACTGTGCTTGGCACTTGCTATAGACACTTTTCTTTCATAATGACACCTCTTTTCCATTTATCAAATTCTCCCCATTCTTAAAAATCCAAGACAAGTACTGTTTCCTCCATGAAATCTTTGCTGACTACGTCATTTGCCACTGACTTCCCCCTTCACTGAGCAAGTACCACATTTCTTCAAGTGCTTGTCACACAATTTAGCCATTAATTACATTCTGTCTTGTTCACTACAGAGATGCCTTTTATCTCAGGCTGATACAGTCTTGGATATGGAAATCAATGCCATGTTGGTTTGTTGGAAGGTGAGAAAACCTTCCTTTAGAAAAAAAGGAAATTAAGCTCATCTCCTCTTTTTTGTTGCAGTTCCTTTTCATGAACAAGGAATGGTTCAAATGACTGTGAAAGACTACACGAGGTAGGCGACAGAGTCACTGTTATTTCACTGCAGGAGTTTACAGCCACGTCTTTCATAAATGAAGTGGAAGTGAGGAGGTCTCTTTATAATGCCATGGATCTTGGGATCTTGTCCCTGGTTTAGCCACAGTGCCTAAACCATTTGTACCAGCCTCGAGAGAGATAGAGGTTCTTTAATTGTCATAAAGGAGTGTGCAGATTAACTCAGCAAATGCTGGCTTGGGGGGAGTTTAATGAACGCATCCACGTAAATGGTATTCTACTAAAATTCAGCTATTCATGAGGACCTGTACATAAAGTAGTTACATTCATTATTTTCATATTGTCCGTTATTATCATGCTGTTTGCTGGACAAGAATGCCTACAGTTTCCAATGTTAGGAGTTTAATTAAAGCATCTGTGTAAATGGTATTCTACTAAAATTCAGCTATTCATGAGGACCTGTTCATAAAGTAGTTACATCTGTGTTTCCATATTGTCCATTATTATGGACATTATTATGTCCATATTTGCTGGACAAGAATGCCTATGGTTTCCACTGTTAGGTAGAAAGCATTTTGAGTGTCCCTAATATGAGGAGAGAGACTAGGTCCCAAAGGGGTCTCAACAGCAGCAGGAACATCACCTGGCAACTTAGTAGAACTGCAAGTTTCCAAGCCTCACCCCACTCACATCACATCAGAAAATCTGGACGTAGGGATCAGAAATCTATGTTTTTGCAAGCCCTTCAAATATTCTGAGGCCCACTCTAGTATAAGAACCACCGGAACAGACAGTGTGCTTCTGGGGCTTGGGAACTCTGCTTCCCACGCTCTAGTCACTCTTGCCTTCTCCGGATAATTCGAACTTGTCGAAAACCAAACGTTCAACACTGTATCCCTCTACCTCCTACCGATTCAGACCTAAAATGCTACTTCGGCATAGTTTTTCCCTCTTAGAAGATTAGATGTTTTTGCTACTCACAGAATCATAGAGGCGTGGGGACCACAGAAATCTCTCAGGCAACTCGTTTTGTTGAAGAGGAAAATGACAAGTTAAGGTCAGTGACTCACCCATGCTCCTACAGCTTGATTGGAATTGTGACTGTACGTGGACTCTCCTGGATCCAAGGTCAGGGCAGTTTCTGGGTAGCTCTGCTGAACATTATAAAATAAAGTGTGAATCTCAAACACAGAGTGAAACAAAAATTATGGCAAACCTAATGCAAACGGAGGGGAGGCAGTAAGTGAAAGGTATCTTCTTCCTGCCTTCCAAGGCTCTCAGCCAGCTCAGTCATCTGCTAAAACAGAATCTTTATTATTGAGAAACGTGCATTTTCTCAGCCTTAATACAGAGAAGCAATTAAACAAAGAAGAGGCGGGGCCCAGCTCTTCTTACCAAATGTGGACCAGGCTAAGGCAAATTCAGGAGCCCATGTAAAATAACTTGGTCTCCTTGGGAGAATTGATATCAACATTGTATCCTTTGATAAATTCCAATTTTGTGCCCACTTGCTGTTATATTTGATGAGGCTAGATATGTTATGGTATATCTGAGCCATATAAAAGTGAACTATATTATAACAGGGTTCCATTCTGTTTGGAAACCCTTTCAGATGACTTGCATTGCAGGCCTATTTGCAGGGAGAGATGCTCGTGTTTTTTTTGCCTTTGCCATAAGAAAGGAGTTTGTTAGTGTTGCGTATGGATGACCACAGGAGACAGCACTTAGAGAGTGGTAACCATGCAGTATGAAACCCTCCACCACTACGAGAATTCATGCAGAGTTGCTTCAGTGGTTGCTTGCTCTACCTCTTTCATCACATAATTTTAACTTTTTCCTGAAAGTTGGTGCCTAGCAAAGCTGTATTCCTGAAAGGTTCCCCAATGATTTGCCATCTGTCCAAAGTGAGACATTCTGTCACCTTTATAATGAGTACTTGTGGGCACCTAACACTTAAATTCCTACACCTTCTGTAACACAACGCTCTTGAAGAGAGGAGCAGTTCCTCTGCTGCACACTCTCTCTTCTTCAAAGGTGCGGCCATTACGAGATTATTAGAAATAAAGAGGAAATGCAAATGTTTGCTCTGGAAGGGAAAGAGTCACAGTGACCTCCCAGGGCACTATCTAAATCAACACATCTCATCGTTGGTATTTCCCCCCACCCCCGACTGCAGATCTCTGCATCAGTGTTTAGAAACTCCCACTCTCTCCAGAGGGACCAGTTTCAACTCTGGCCATTCTGCTGCAAGTATACCACAAAGGTACGTGATTTCCAGGCACTTTTCATCCAGAAAAATCATTCTCTTCAACGATGGATTTCATGAAATTACAAATAGGCACTTGAGAAATACTTGTTGAATGGATGGATGAGAGAATGAATAAAGGATTTCAGAACCCCAACTTGCAAGAACGATGTAAAAGATTCAGTGAAGGTGGACTAAATATCTGTCAATGGGGAAATGGCCAGTTAAACTATTGGCCCACCCACTTTATGGAATTCTATACAGTGATGAAAGGAATAGGTAGAGATAACTATACTAACTTGCAATGATCTTTAAGTCATATTTTAAAAGGAAAAAAATCAAGATGCAGAAAGATACATAGAATGTGTTACTGCTTATAAAGCCAACAAGTGAAAACTATAAAGCATATATGTAACTACATAAAAAGAAAATGTCTGGAAGGATACACATAAATTCAGTAGGAAGGCAGTCAGGATTTGCAGGGGTAATGGCCAAGGGGAGAGAGACCCTTATGTAGGACATTGCAATTTTTAACAAAGTGAGTGTATTTTATGTCTTTCTTACCTGATTAAATATAGATTTAAAAAAGTAAATAATATTGAAAGTATTTTTAATGACAAATCAATCAATAATTATATTCTTGGCCGTGAGAATGTGAGCCATTAGAAAGCAGGACTATATTATTTTTGTTCTTTTTTGTGCCTTAGATGCCTACCAGAGAGCCTAGAACATGACAGACGTTCAATAAATATTTGTGTAAATGGGTAGTCAGTGAGGGGGAAGTGAGCTGGTATATATAAATATAATTTCCACATAACTGCAGGGTATCATTTTAAGTGCCAGCACTGAATAAAACAAGTTGAAAAAAGTACTTCTTGCTTCTCAGCCAAGTCCAAAAAAATACAGAACATATTTTAACCTCACCTAGGGACTTAAAGTCATTATTTGTGAACATTAGTCCTGTAGTCTCCATTTAGTGATATCCTCAACAAATCTGCGTGACTGGGGGCGCCCCAGACTGATACTCTTTTTAAATATTCTTTTTTTTAGTCTACTGTTTTCAGGGTTGATTTTTTTTTCTTCTATTTCATATTGCCATCAACTACCATTTTTTGTGGTTATCACTTCACTGCCTCTGGTTTTTGTCCCACAATATCCCTGCCATATCTAATTTAACACCTGCCTGTTGTGAAATGGAAAACCTGTTAAGTAAACTCATTTTAAAGTACAGACAAGCAGTCCCTGAGCGGGGGTGAAGGACTGTCCTTTTAGGAAGTATATATGAGTTCTAGGAAATGCACCATCTGTTTGTCTATTCAGATTCCTCCTTTACTCAATTTCTGGAAGATTGGGTGGGTGAGGTGACTAGGAAAAAAAATGGCTTTTGGTTAAGTGAACTGTTACTGGATAAAGATATTCATATTTTTACTGCAGCATTCCTGAATGGCTGGAATTTTGGGAAAAAGATCCAGTGGAGATTCTCTTGGATCTGGGGTTTGGTGCTGACGAGCCAGACATCTACACACGAATCCCAGCCAGATTCCTGGGTTGTGACTCAGCAGCCAGAGGAATCAACATCCGTGTTTTCCTCGAAGCTCAAAAGCAGCGAATGGACATTGAGAACCCTGACTCGTACAGTAAGTGAAGACCACGTGGCATCAGAACCTCAGCAACGGCAATGAACAGTCAGATGAGCCACAGTATTAGGAGGGATGGGCCAGGAGATCTGTACAGTAGCAATCAACCCCAATATCTCAGTGGCTTCAAACAGAAACAAGTTTATGTCATGATCACTCTCCATGCCCACTGCAGATTGGTGTATATTTTGGGAGGAAGAAAGATCTGTTCCATGATGTTTTCCTTATCCATGGACTTGGCTCAACTATCTGGAACATTACTGGTTGTAATGACAGGGAAAAGGTGGAAATAGAGAACGATACTTGGGTCTTAAAGCCTCCTGCTCAGAACTTACACATATCAAGTGTGCTCACTTCATTGTCCAAAATAAATCATGTGGCCACACTTAACTCCAAAGGGGTGACAATGTGCAATCGTACTGCATGCCCAGAAGGAAGACAATACTGGTGAACAGCACTAATACATACCATAGCCACATACCCAGAGGTCAGAGCAACCAGGATCTGGCTCATGAGTCACTAAGTGACACCTTAACTTTCTCATCTGTGAGGCTTAGAACACTGCTTATTTCCACCCCAAGCTGTAATTGGTAGTTATAAATCTGTCATATCTTCAGATTTGTGGATTAACTGTGCTTAAATCTTATAGTTATCATGCATGCTGCAATTTTTCTCCAGCTGACGGTCAATGGAATACTTTTCTCTAGGACACTACTGAGGATATTCTTGGAGCATGTGTACTGTGCTCAAATAATTTGAGAGAAAGATGGCTTACAGTTAAACAGGTTTATTTACTGCAGGATTTGTTTAATATGCTGAGGTGCACTCTCAGTCTTCTAGAGGGGATGCAGTGCAGCGTTTTCAAAATCATTTCAGTACAGAACCTCTCTTAGAGGGGCATTAAAGAACATCTCCTCCGTGGAATAGAGTTTGCAGAATTTTGGACTGCGGAACATGCCAAAATTCTGTTAAATAAATTCTTCTAAATAAATAAATTCCCTGAAAGGAAAGTCAAGTGAGATGAAGTGTTTCTCTCAAACAAATATCAGGAACAGAGGTTTTACTTAGATTTTTCATTTCAGTTTCTGTTTCCCCTGCTTTCATATGGGTGAAATGGGTCTCAGAAATCTCAGCAACGACATTTTTTAAAAAGAGTATGCAAAACTGAAGGTGTTGCAATGTAACGTTTCTTTACCTTTAGAAGAAATTAATACCGTTCTTTGTTGTCTCCTCCTCCAAGCCCCACAGAGATGCAAAATCTTTGATCAGTTATTTATTTGGGGAGAATAATAACACTTACCAATATTTGAGGAGTGATTGAGCAGATCTGTGAAGTAAACATTTCACAGATGAAATTGACACATGGATTATAGGGAAACCAGGAGTTGGCCCCTGATCCAGTGACTGCTGGCCCCCTCTAATTTCCACCACTTAGACCTGTGCTAATAGAGCACGGTAACTATTCTGACTCAACACTTACAGTACACTTTCAACTCGAGAAAACTGAGAAAGTCAAATGTAAAAGAAGCAATAGTAAAATTAGTTGGTTGTCCCGTAGACAGAATGGAAAAGTATGTCTCCTTCAAAGTCAGTACAAAACGTTCCAACTTGAAGGGATGAGAATCAGTTGGTTCATTGTTCAGTGTACCTCAAAGCAAAACAAACAGACAAAACCCCCATCCAACACTTCACACTATTATGTTCTCTGAATTGCCTGAACCAATTAAATCGATAGGTTTTATGTTAGTCTAAGTATAAAAATCTGCTATAGAAAGGATACTAAGACAATCGTAAAAGTGGAATTACAATTCAATCATGCTCTTGAGCTTACAACTAAATTTAAGGGGGAAGCGTAATCAGAGTATTTCTGAAAACATCTGGAACCCAAGAGTTCCTCTAGGTCTTGACAGAATATCACAGTCCTCCATAAGACACCCATCACATTTTTTTGGAGTAGAATTATGAATGGTTAATATCTTCCACTTTCAGGTGAAGAAAACAGGTAGGCATAATGATTTGCTCATGGAGGAGTCTGTAGCATTGCTATGATGGTGCAAACAACAGAACAGAGGGCAGTATCCTTCCACACCAATGGGCCTTTGGCCGTTGATGAGCTATGCAACCCTTCATGCTATCACTGGGGTTGAGAGAAGGCTATGTAATAAAAACAAAATGTTCTGTTTCCATTACTGTGGTTTTACTGTCTGGAGATACCAAAAATATTTTTTACAATTTTTTCAAAGTGGCAATGCATCCCCAAGGTAGCCCTTGCTACATTAGATCTCTCCAACATACTAATTAAGCCAATTCTTGCATATTGCCCGAATGAGTGAGGCCAGGTGGTTCAGAAAGACTTACAAGTTGAGGAGCTGGTTGGTTTGGAAAGGTAAATGGGTTTTCACATTAATGACTATCACCTCTTGGAAGACTGAAGACAATACATTCCCTTCCTGAGTTGTGCACATTTATTTTAACTGATATGTATGTAGCATTGTGTTTTTCACAACAGATGTGAGAGATATGTAAGACTGGTATTATTATCTCATTCTCCAGATGAAGAAACGGGCCATTTACTATGTGCCAGGCACAAGATTAAGCACCATGAATCTATCAATTCATTTACTTTGTGGTTACACTTTCAGTGACTGGTCGACCTGGGATTTGGATCCAGGCCTTCTGATTCCATATGTCATCATCTTTCCACACTCTCAGGTGAAGGGTATAGATGGATATGATGGAGGTGATGATGAGGACGATGACTGCCTCAAGCTATGGAAGAATGGAAGAATCTCCAAGCTCACTTCATATGAAAGAGCTGGGTTCACTCTTTGACATTTACTTTAACACATGACATTAATCTCAAGATTCAGCCTTGCCTATAGTTTTTATAGATTAACACATAAAGACTGTATGAATCTATATAGTCATGCATATTCAACTAAATATAAAAGGCATTCTCTTTCCCTATAATACAGTGATACCTTGTTATGTAGAGGAATCTCCTCCATGATAATCAATGGCACACACTAAGGAAAACTTGAGTTTCAGAAACTTAAAGTCCTTCCCATCTTGAAATCACATGAGTTAACAAATCTCTTCAGTTTTTACCACATGAATGCAGTTTCGTTGAAACTAAAAAGTGTGTGTTGCTTATATTGTTCAGGCTGTTTCTAACAGCTGGAAATATTGGATCATGTGGCCAGTGCTTTCTCATCTTTGCTGAATGATGTCAACATCCTGCAGAACAAAGCTAAAGAGGAAGATGAAGGAAAAAGTGTGCAAAGAACCTCAGTGAGTGAAGCCAAAGAGCATCGAAGAAGAATGGGTGAACTTTTTTAGGATAAGTTCAGAGCAGAACACTAGAAGGGATTATAGCCTGGGAACATCACAGTCATTGAAGATGAGAAACAAATTTTCCATCCTCTCTGCAGAAGCAGGGTGTGGAGCAGAGTTGCCATGACAAACAAACACGACCAAAGTCATTTGTCTCTTTCAGCAGAGCACTGGTCTCTTCAGGCCAGTGATGACTTGACAGCTTGTGATCCTCCCCAAGCTCTTCTGAGCAAGCAGTGTCCTCACTCATCCATGCTGGCCAAGCAGGCTCCTCCTTCCTATGTGTCTGAGGGGTTAGTCAAGGACAGAACTCAAAAGGAGAACTCACTTCAGACTAACAAACTCAAGAGCTTGTCTTGTCTTGCAGGCAAAGCACCAGACTCCTTCGAAATGGAAGAGGTCAGTGTACTCAACTTCTAAGGGAAGTATCTCCCACCAAGGCATCTTTTGCCTTCCACCCCTCATTTAACCCCTTCTTCTTTCAGCCCTTCAGCATTACATCTTATTCCAAACTTCTGTTTAATCTAGGACATTTAAGGTCATTCTAGTTACTTCAGTCAGAACTAAACTAGTATGAAGCCAGCCTTTGCTTTCTCCCATTTCTTTTCCTTTTTTTGCTCACAACTGAATCCACAGGTTATTTTTCACTTTGCTTTTCCTCAATGTTTTATTATGCATCTCAGTATACTTTCATCTACTCTCTAACTTTTCATGTTTCACCTTCTTTGAGGGTCAGTTCAACTACTTCCCACTAAGTGAAGCTAGCGCACCACTCTTCCTCTGTATTCTCATAGCCTTGGCATGGAGAGCTTATTACAGTAAAGATTGTGTGTGTGTGTTGATTACACCTCCCCCGCTGGACTGTCAGCTCCTTGAGGATTAGATTTTATCCTCAAGGGAATATGTCTTGGGAATATTTCCCTTGCAACACCTAATGCAGGGCCTTGGACAAAAAAAGTAGGGACTTGGGTTTGATAGCATTTTATTTGCCTGCTTGCTTTGGGATTTAGTGATACTCACATAGCTTGACCTCCATTTCACACATACTCTTTGCCTCTTCATCCCACCTTCATTCACACGTGCTAATTTTCATTGTCATTTAGATGGCACACCCAACTGTACTTCAAAGTCTTTTTAAAAATACACATTTCCACTCATCTCTTTATTCTTTAATTACAGAGAAAGTATAGAAGAGCAAGGCTTTTTCCCCCTTTTCATGTAAATTGTTTAGAAGTCGGGTAGGATATTTATATGCCAGTCCCAAGGTCAGGCCACTCTCTTTCGAGCCCTCTACAGGTGAGACACTCTACATGTGAGCCCACTACATGTGAGACACTCTACACGTGAGCCCACTACATGTGAGGCTCTGGGACACAGACTCTGCCCTCAAGGTAACCACAGTGTAGTGGCAGGGATAAGCACAAAAGCCAATAACATGGTAGGGAGAGTGACAGCTATGCTGATAAACTTTCATGTCACTAACGAGACAAGTTTGGATATCTGGGGAGTAAGAAAAGGGGCTCTTAATCAGCCAGGGGGCTGAGACAATCAAGGAAATCGTAGGATGTTAAAGCGTAACAATAACTTGAAAAGAAGTCTAAGAATGCCTATTGGTAGGTCTCTCCATCCCACAAAGAGATAAAAATTGCCTCAAAATATATAGCCGTTAATGATCCTAATATCTATGTGTATATGTTTTTGTATGCATATGTATTATGTCAAAATTATTTTAAGAACCTTAAAATATTAATCTGACTTTAAAACAGTAGCATAAAAATGAATAAAAATTATAAATGGAGAAAAAACAGAGCTTTGGTCAAGTGCCGTGATTTGAATACAATCGCAGGTGGCACTAAAAAAGAGTATTTTCTTTTATTCAATCTTGTAAAAATTATTTAATTACCAAACTAATAGTTAAATTACTATAAAGACTGTAAAGACAATCTGCAAGTCATTATTCAGTCTGCTGTCTATTTCCTAGGATCCAACCAGGAAATTCACCCAACTCCAGCCTGTTGACAAGCCTCATTAGACTCCACGGTCCCCTTACTAAGCTTCTTCTGCATCAAACTATATTGACTTAGAGCAGAGCAAAGTTCCTTGTATGTCATCTATATGTAAGAGTACAGGGAGAGATAAATATCATCATATTCAACATAAAGAGCTAAGAAAAGAATGTTAGTCCTTGCATGGCAAACTTTCAAATATTCTTATGACAGTTATTCAAGGAAAAGCAATACGTATTAGTATATATAGGTGTGGTAAGGGAGAACACACTCAGACACCAAAAATAAAAATAAAATAAAAATAAAAACCTCACGTTTTGTGGCACATAGTGGGAACTTGGTAAATATTCATAAACGAGTAAATTAATATTAGAAGTATTTGATAATTTAATCTGTGAGTGGCTTCCATATAAAAACAAAATATTCTGTTGAACTTTGAAGCCAACTTTCTTTGTGGTGTTTCTTTAATATTTGCCCAGATTTGTGTAAGAGGCTATATGTATATATAAGGCAGAGAGAGCCTTCAAAATGATATTTAAAAACTCACTATTTGAATTTTGTTTTCTTTTTTTTAAATAAATTTATTTACTTATGTATTTATTTTTGGCTGCATTGGGTCTTTGTTGCTGCACGTGGGCTTTCTCTAATTGTAGCGAGCGGGGGCTGCTCTTCATTGTGGGCGCGGGCTTCTCATTGTGGTGGCTTCTCTTGTTGCAGAGCACGGGCTCTAGGCGCGGGGGCCTCAGTAGTTGTGGCGCACGGGCTTAGTTGCTCCGCGGCATGTGGGATCTTCCCAGACGAGATCTCGTTAAATTCTTAACCACTGCACCACCAGGGAAGTCCCAAACTTTGTTTTCTTAAAAATGTATATTTAAAATATTAAATCTTCATCACACAGACTGGGAGAAAAATATTTCTTTCACTCAATACCAATGTATGAGTAAATGAAACTTGGGTAGGTTGTAGCTTAAACAGGAGCTAATGCCAGATTTAATAGTCATTTTTTAATGGCAAATTTAAAAATATAAGAAATGAAAACTATGTGTGAAATTGGCAGATTTTCATGGCAGTTAAAACATAAACCAATGTACTTAAATATCTACCTATCAGAATTTCAACTCTGATTGGCCAAATTCTGCCTCCAGATCACTCTATGATGTTTTCCCTAAAGTCCTACTAAAGGCTGAATATGGTAATATTTGGCTCACTTCTCAAAATTATGATTCCAACCAAGTTGTACATAGATTTTTAATGCAAAAATCAACATTTTTGTGTTTAATTTTACTGAGTTAAACTGAGTCTGTTCCTTTCTTTTTTTAATTCCCAAATATATTATGAGAATTTAATACTTATGAAACTTCTGTAACTGTAGACTCTCTTAGGATGCTTCTTTGTATCTACAATATAACATCTTTAACCTTCCCTCTGGCTTACATACAAGGACCCTGCTCTCTGGAACTCCTATGTAAGAATGTTACCCATAGTATTAAACAATGCCAGTCAGCATCTTGTTTAGGTGAGAAATATTTCAAACGTTATAATTATTATTTTTTTTTAATAACTTGGGCCCAGGTGGAATAACCCAGGAATACACCTGGTTTCCATTTTACATTATTGGGAATTTTTTGTTTTTCTTTTTTTTAATAGATGAATAGGTACTTTACATTGCACTAAGTGGATTTTTCTCCAGGATAACATTCACAGAGAAAAAATTTACTTATTATACTGAAAAATTTATATGGTGCACACTGGTTTGAGTTACAAAACCAGTAAAAATAATGTTAAGCATTAAGTAGAAGTATGTCTAATTAAGTAGAAGTATGTCTAATCAATTACAAGTATAAAGTACCTTCTGTGAAAAAAGAGATGAAGGATTAAAAAGAGGGAATAAATATTTCTTCTTACATTGCTGAGCTATATCCTCATAGTCCTCTGTTTATTCCTGGGTTAAAGGTAATTTTTGGCCGTATGTACCACAATGCTTAAAATGTTTTCATCCTTTGATTCAGCCTTCAATATTCAGACATGAATCCCAAATAAATAATATGACATGTAGAAATAGATTTATGTACAAAGATACTCATCTCAGCATCATTTCTATTTGCAAAATTTAGAAAACTTTCCAACATTAGGAGAATCATTAAGTAAATTAATGTACCTTCAAAATATGGCCTATTGTGCACTCATTGAAGATGGTGTTTTCAAAGAAATTTTATGATATGGGGAAAAAAGGTCCCTCCAAATTTTGAGATGAAAATTTGACTACGTTACTATATCCAGAATTAATGTATTAAAAGAAAACCTGCAAAGACATGCTCCAAAATAATAACAGTAACCATTTTCCTACCTTCTTTAACTTTTTATATTTATCAAGTTTCTATAGAAAGCTGTTATTATTTTTAAAGAAATAATTATTATTTTGTTTTAACAATTTTATTCTCGTTAATAGGGTAATATTAATTCCTTAAAAGAATTTTTTAAATAAATTCTACTCTCTCAATTTGAAAATCAATTTGAAAATCAAATTTTCTTTGAGCTTTCTAAGCTTTATATAGCAACTGAGTTATGAAATTTTTTTCATATATTTTTTCAAATATTTTTTTCAAATTTTTTCAAATTTTTTCATATATTTTTTTCAAATTTTTTTTTCTAAGCTTTATATAGCAACTGAGTTATGAAATTTCCTGAGTTGCTCTCCACAAATTTACCAAGTTGTAAATAAATCCCTTAGAGAGCTAAAATTAAATATGGGAAATAACTTGCTTGCTCCAAATATAGTTAAAGCTCTTTAGGAACAAAAGAAATATTTCTAGGTTAATAGTAATAATATTATTTAAGTTTAGTTCAAATGCCACATTTTCCAGGCAGGGCCTCTATTCCTTCCACCCAGAAGTGATCTTTCCCTTTCCCTCTTCTTAACTCCCTTAGTTCTTTGAATCTTTGTTATGAGTGCCTTGTACATACCACCTGCCTGCCACAGACTGTTAGCTCTCTGAGTTCAGAAATCATGTTTAATCCTCTTGGCAGTAGCCAGTAGGTATTCATTATATGTTGATTAAATAAATGAAGTGAATTTATTATGAAAGCGTTTCTAATGAGACTGATGCACTTTGGTGTCTCAGGTCCAGAGCTTTGAAGAAGAGGCTGGTAATCCTCTCGACATGACCTCAGGAACTGTAGGTAAGAATTCATCAAGGTGTACGATTTCATCAATGGTCTTTCACAAAGAAAATGTCAATAACTAGTGCTCAATTTTCTTAATATGTAGAACTTAAATTATCTTCAAGAGATGCTATACCTACTATTACTACTACTTCGACCTACTATTATTAAACACCTGCTAGCAATGCATATGTACATGTAAATTTCAAAATACTTACTACAGAAATGTCCAGTATCCCTGGGGCTAATGTAGTATGTGTTATTGTCTAACAAAAACTCTATATGGGACTTCCCTGGTGGCGCAGTGGTTGAGAGTCCGCCTGCCGATGCAGGGGACACGGGTTCGTGCCCCGGTCCGGGAAGATCCCACATGCCGCAGAGCGGCTGGGCCCGTGAGCCACGGCCACTGAGCCTGCGCATCCGGAGCCTGTGCTCCGCAACGGGAGAGGCCACAACAGTGAGAGGCCCGCGTACCGCAAAAAAATAAATAAATAAAAATTAAATATAGGTAAAGGTTTAGACTCATTATTTTTAAAAGAAATCCATTCCCATTCCATTAGAATATTTTATGAGTAAAATTTCTTTTCTGCTTAAGAGTAAGTAGTCGCAAAAAAAAAAAAAAAAAAAAACTCTATATGGCCCAAAATAGGCTAATGAAATGGATTTTACACAGACCTGGGACTAACTGAGTGAATACTTTCTTACTCCTACTGCCAACTGCTTGCTGTTTCACAAGTCATATTTTACTGGACCTCAGTTTTTCCGTCTGTAATAAAGAGGTAAGTACAGATAATTTTTAAGTTCTCTGCTGGCACTTATAGTCTACATTAAGTGATTCTATGACCATCATATTAATCTCACAGTGGAAACAAGTTGCTTAGATGTAACATTCCAAATCATCTCTTAGACTGGTGTTATATTACCCTAGAAAACAGAGAAGGAAGTCTTTCTCCACTACTGGTTCTTAGACTGCCTTCAGCCATCATTGTGATTCAGCATTTCCATGATGCTATAAAAGAGCTAGAAGTAGACAGGGGTTAGTGAAGCAAAATAAAGCAGATGAAGCTCGCGTGCTTCCTAGAAGAAAATATGCAAATTTAAAATTTAATTTAGTGTGGTGTCAAACACATTTTTTTCATTACAAAGTGTATGTATGGGCCTCATTTTGCTAAACGCTGTTTAGAAATTATGCATTAGTAATTATAGGGTCCTGCTGATTACATAAATTGTTATCCTGCTCTTCGAAGTAATTACCACTAACCTGCACTGAGGTTTATAAGACAAAAATAAGCATCTGTTTTCCATCTAATTGAACGCTTCTCAGTGAAGCTGGAGGTCCCCTTGCCAATAGGAATTGCCTTCCTTGACATTCAATTAAGAGGTCTGCTGATACCATGTAAGTCTCCCCAGTCATTCCAAAAAATGATTTGGGAAGTTAGGCAAAAGCACTAATTTACATTTAATCTCAAATTCATAGAACAAATTAAGATGGGTGAAGGTTGGCCTAATGGAGAAAATCTGAATTATAGTAAAGCAAATGCGATTTTATTACTTTCAAAAACAGTGTTGTTAACCCAAGAAAAAATAGGACTGAGAAAAAATAAGTAAAACTAGTTTGATTAATAGGGAAAGGGAAAATTATTACTTTGATTGATATATATGAATGGATTACATATATATGAATTATATATGTACATATTAAATATATACACATATGAATGAATGTTTACACAAAGTTCAAAAGATGACTTTACTTAAAAGATGAAAGCACATGGACTGTTTGACCAATAGGATATGGCAGAAATGATGTTGTGCCACTTTCAAGCTTATCCTTTAACCCACCTGGCTGCTTCCTGTTTCTTGAGATACCTGCTCTTGGAACATTCCTTCTGGGAACCTAGCCCTAGCTCATTCTGTGTGAAAAGTGCACCATGTGGGTATGCCACATGTGATCACTCTGGTGGGACAGCCTTGAATGAGCTCACCTGTGAATAAATCATCTTAGTTACCCAGTTCGGTCAAACTTTCAAATGACTCCAGCCCAGATGCCATCAGACTGCAACTGCCTGAGAGAATCCAAGCGACAACCACATAGCTAACCTGAATCAATCCACAGAACCATGGGAGTAATAATGAATTGTAGTTTTAAGACACATATATACATACAAATAGATGAAGGCATGTGATGAACACTTCAAATACCTTTAAAACTTGAAGATATTCTAAAGACTATTTCATCTACTCAAGCACAATACTCTGAATATTAGCAGAAAAAGTGTATTTAAGCATTTCCCTAAATGAATTTGAGCAAAATTTCTTCTTATGAAAGATGGGGACCCAAGGCCACAAATGTACCATCCTCCCTTTATCACTGAAAAATTATCACTGGAATGACGAGGGAATATAAATATAAGAAGGAAACATATAACAATTCTCATCTCACTGAAAATATTCATTTCTGAGGATTCCAAATGATTCTTTGTAGTCATTCTTTTATTGGTGAGCATTTTTGGAATAGCCTCTAATTGTGAACTGCTAGATACTGTGGTAATTTTTCTGTGTTTGCTGATATTACAGTGACAGGAAAGGTATGCCTTGACTAATCTGAGAGTTAACTTAGATTCATTTGGAAATTATGACCATAACTCGTTAGTATAGTTCTACAGTGCACTTACAATGCTAAAGGAAGCTCTTCAGACTAATGATAGACAGTGAACTGTGATGTTTATACCATACATAAATGTAATACATATGACATTTTCAGCATGGAGGAAGGGGAGGTTGGTAAATGGATCAATATAGCTCAAAGTTTTTACATCTTATGTGAAATGGTACAATATTAAAGTACACCACGAGGGACTTCCCTGGTGGCACAGTGGTTAAAAATCCACCTGCCAATGCAGGGGACACAGGTTCGATCCCTGGTCCAGGAAGATCCCACATGCACGGAGCAACTAAGCCCGTGAGCCACAACTACTGAGCTTGCACTCTAGAGCCCGCGAGCCACAACTACTAGCATGCGTGCCACAACTACTGAAGCCCGCGCACCTAGAGCCTGTGCTCCACAACAAGAGAAGCCCCCGCTCGCTGCAACTAGAGAAAGCCCATGTGCAGCAACGAAGACCCAATGCAGCCAAAAAATAAAAATAAAAATAAATAAATAAAATTTAATAAAAGAAAATAAAGTACACTGTGAAATTTTGAGGATTTAAAGCAACCATTAACAAATCAATAGATAGCTAGTGGGAAGCAGCCGCATAGCACAGGGAGATCAGCTCAGTGCTTTGCGACCACCTAGAGAGGTGGGATAGGGAGGGTGGGAGGGACATGCAAGAGGGAGGAGATATGGGGATATATGTATATGTATAGCTGATTCACTTTGTTATAAAGCAGAAACTAACACACAATTGTAAAGCAATTATACTCCAATAAAGATGTTAAAAAAAAAATGGGCAGAAGACCTAAATAGACATTTCTCCAAAGAAGACATACAGATGGCCAAGAGGCACATGAAAAGCTGCTCAACATCATTAATTAGTAGAGAAATGCAAATCAAAACTACAATGAGGTATCACCTCACACCAATTAGGATGGGCATCATTAGAAAATCTACAAACAACAAATGCTGGAGAGGAAGTGGAGAAAAGGGAACCCTCTTGCACTGTTGGTGGGAATGTAAATTGATACAGCCACTATGGAGAACAGTATGGAGGTTCCTTAAAAAACTGAAAATAGAATTACATATGATCCAATAATCCCACTACTGGGCATATATCCAGAGAAAACCATAATTCAAAAAGACACATGCGCCCCAATGTTCACTGCAGCACTATTTACAATAGCCAGGTCATGGAAGCAACCTCAATGCCCATCAACAGACAAATGGATAAAGAAGATGTGGTACATATATACAATGGAATATTACTCAGCCATAAAAAGGAATGAAACTGGGTCATTTGTAGAGATGTGGATGGATCTAGAGACTGTCATACTGAGTGAAGTAAGTCAGAAAGAGAAAAATAAAAATCAGATATTAATGCATATATGTGGAATCTAGAAAAATAGTACAGATGAACCAGTTTGCAAGGTAGGAATAGATACATAGATGTAGAGAACAAACGTATGGACACCAAGGGGGGAAAGCAGGGTGGGTGGGGGGGGTGGGATGACTTGGGAGATAGGGATTGACATGTATACACTGATGTGTATAAAATAGGTAACTAATAAGAACCTGCTGTATAAAAAAAAAGTTTAAAAAAATCACAGAGGTATAGCAAAAAGCTGATAGAAAAATTAAATTATAATTTAAAAAAGTACAATGAAGGCAGTAAGTGACAGATTGAATACTGCAGAAAAATAACTGAATTTAAAAAGTAGGAGACATGTGTGAGAAATTATTTAAGAATCAAGTAGAAAATGAAATGGATATAATAAACAAAATGTCAAGGAAGACAGATCCAAGGAGTATATTACATAGTCCTAACAGGTGGTTAGAGTTGGACTCTTCCCGTCTTAGTTTTGACTGAGGTTCTAAAAAAGATATCAGATACAAAGTCAACATGTGACAAATCCGTATATGCAACTTTTCTAAGGAAATTGTAGGACTCAGTTCCACAACTCTTGAGCTCATTGTGTATTTAAAGAAGGGACAAGTTGCAGAGAGAAAGAAAAGATTGGTGAAGATATTTAATTGGGGAAAAGTAATGCCCTGTTGTGTTTCTTTCTACCATTTGGAGGAGGACTGGGGATGCTACTTTGAGACCCAAGCAGTAAGGGGCATTTAACGGAGACCACTCACAGAGCAATTTCATTATATTTAACAAGGACAGTCACAGTGTAACCGGTACTTCACATGTTCTGGGTACTTCACATGCATTACACCTTTTAATCCTCAAAATAAACCATTGAGTTAGGCACTATTATTATTTCTAATTATTAGATGAAGAAACTGAAGCACAGAGAGGTTAAGTAACTTTCCATGGCCTCACAGATAGTAGAAAGTGGTTCCAGGTTTCAAA